AGATAGATAGATAGATAGATAGATAGATAGATAGATAGATAGATAGATAGATAGATAGGAAGATAGAAAAATTGAATGGTAGTGTATAATGTTACAAAAGCTTTCTATTTCAGATAAATGTGGTTCTTTTGAACTTCTGTTCATCAAACAATCCTGAAAATAAATTGTACACAATTGTTTTCATTGTTGATAATAATAAAAAAATAATAATTGTTTCTTGAGAAGCAAATCAGCATATTAGAATTATTTCTGAAGGATCATGTGACACTGAAGACCGGGGTAATGATGCTGAAAATTCAGCTTTGCACCACATAAATAAATTACAATTTAATATATTTAAATAGAAAACAGTTATTTTAAATTGTAAATATATTTCACAGTATTACTGTTTTTTGCTGTATATATATATAAATACATATGCATGTATATATTTAAGAAAAACGTGTTTTGTTTATATATAAAATATTTATATATATGTAAATATTTTTCAAATATATACATATTGTGTATTTATATAATCATAAAAATATACACAGTACACAGACATATATTATGTAAACAAAACCCTATTTTGGATGCGATTAATCGTTTGGCAGCACTAGTTTGTATATACTGTATATCAGTTCACTGTGAAAACCGAGGGCATGTACAAGATGCTGAATGACTTCACCTTTCCCTGTGTCTGTACTAGCATCCTTCGCCCGCTGATTCTGATTGGGTGACCAACAGTTCTCCTGCAAACGAACATGCAAATATCAAGTGAATTTTTAGTGGTGCAATGGCATTAATGTATTGGCTTTAATCTATTATTCTTCTTTACTACGGATGAGTGTAAACACTTCAGATGAATGGTAACTTACATTGGCATAGTGGAAGTTTATGCTCCAGTTGCTGCCGGCACGTGTGGGGATGAATCTGTCTCCTGATTTCACAGTAACCGGACTGCACGCTGCATACCCTGACTGCATAAACAGTAATACACAGTGGAAACAGACAATTATTATGTGTAATATTTATATTTCTGCCTCTTTAAAGGGACAGTCCTGCCAAAAATCAATCTTCGGTCATCGTTTACTCACCCTCATTTCATTCCAAACCTTTATGACTTTTCTCATTCTGTGGAACACCAAAGAAGATATTTTTGAAGAATGTGAGTAACCAAACAGTTTTGGATCCCATTGACTTCCATAGTACTTTTTTTTGACCATGCACGTCAGTGGGACCTGAAACTGTTTGGTTACTAACATTCTTCAAAACATCTTCTTTGGTGTTCCACAGAATGAGAGAAGTCATACAGGTTTGGAACAACTTTGATAATACTAGACAACTAGGATCATTTTATTATCCCTTACCGTATGAGTTGATTTTTATTTGAGGTAATACGTTTAATAAATGCTAATCTAATTATTCAGATTAAAATAGCATGTTAATGAACTGCTTGCACTGACATGCTTGACACAAGAATGTGTTTACTGTATATGGTTAGAAGTCTAGTTATAAATATGGCTAAATTATAAACAGACGTCTAATGATCTTTTTATGCTTACCTTGGACAGGTGGCCCTCAGGGACGTTCTGGTGGTTGATTTGCCTTAACAGGCGTCTTTCATAGTCCTGGTCCATTTCTACTGTAATCTACAGTAAGACTCTCTCCTTCAGTCTGCAGATGGGGGTCCTTCCAGGTCTCCCATCCCTACAAAAAAAAAGGTGTATCCATCATTGAATAACACTATACTCACAATGATTTACTAATTAGCTGCTCCAATGACAGCTGTCAGTAGGTGTCAACCCAACATACCTATAATAGAGTACAGGAGGGTTGTAAACACGCGTATGTAATCAGTTGCCATGGCAGCTCGCTAACTTAGCTGCACTGAGCTAACAGAAGCTTAACATCCAACACAATGACACGATAATAACGTTTTTTTATGAGTTGAATAAATTTGGAATACCTTTAGACCTCGTATTAGCAAAGAGAATCATCTTACCTTAACCAAGTGCTCAGGAAACCCACATTATACTGACTTGTATGTTCAGCTAACGTTACGTGCGCAATGCTTTCCTAAACATCTAACTTAGTTCGTGCGTTCCCGACGCTGCAACAAATATTAAGGCTGTTTCGGTAAGGTGCTACCAATTTTTCGGTCTTCAGAGATAACGGTGCGATCATTGAGCAGAGGGCATCAATGTTTATGTTCATGTCAAGATGGCGAGCAAATCAGCTGTGAGGGGGGCGAGTGTAATTCCCTGCGCTACCAGAAGAGGCGCAGCGTGGCGCTGTCAGAGCAGAGCAGACAGTCCTGCATTATAATGTCAGAAACCACCAGGACAGATTACTGATGATTTCTTCATGACTAATGTGTGATAAGGAAGCTCATATGTGATATATTATAATATATTACATGCAAATCATTTAGACAATGACTTGAATACACCTTTTCTAAGATAAACCGGTTTTAAATGTCTGAATTAAAATTAATTTGGATATTACTTTGTTGAGCTTAAAGGGGTCATATGATGCTTTTTTAAAGATCATTATTTTGTGTATTTGAGTGAAGTGACATGTGGCCATGTGACTTACATACTCGGAATTAGTGCTCTGCATTTACCCATCCAAAGTGCACACACACAGCAGTGAACACACACAAACTGTGAACTGCTCTAACCATTAGGCCACGACTTCCCCAAAGTGTAAACGTTGGTGGACAGCCATTTTTAGGTCTCTCCAGAGATGC